TATCGGTTGTTAATGTGCTTGTGCGTTCGGGGCGTTTGTCATCTTCAACGTCTTCACGGCCATCTTGAAAACTCTTATACCACTTGTAAACTCTTGTTTTACTTATAGAAGACTCAGTATAGGCCTTTGTTAACATTTTACAGAATTTATTTCATTTTTTAAGCAAAATTGGATACAAATTCTTTGATCCATATTCTTTTAACGAACGAAAATCGCCGAGCTCATAAAACACGTCCAACCTTAGCGGCTACCACAGACAAAGTAAACAATGAAAACAGCTAAAGTTTTTATCATACTTGCATGTATACCAACATAATATAGAAAATTTCATGACAACCGGACCCTCCGAACCCGCGAAATTTAACAATTCCCGTTATTTTCTGAACACACCTCGTACAACCTTTGAAGTTAAAACAACACTAAAATTCACACTAAATTTAAGGTGAAAATTTAAATAAAGTTGACCTGCTCAAGCTATAACTAGTGTTCTCTAGTGAAGCCATATGAAACTTAAAAAAAAAACAAGTGACATCAATGGACGACCGGTAAATGATTTTTTTTATACAATTGTGGACCACCCTACTAATTACTAATTAGAGATAAAAACATGATATTTAAAAAAAGGTATATCGGCATTTTCTCCGTAAATATCAAGTGGTTGATTGAACGTTGAGGTACTTAACTCATGCATTCCGATAACTCCATTCGATGAATAAGATCGGTTGAAATAGAATTATCTCTCTTACTCTTGCACGAAAATCGCATTTTCCTTTTTTCCGTTCCGATCCAACCGACGTACATCGTAGTACATTTTGTTGCCGAGTGGCACTGTAGGCTGCTTAGAGCCGGCCAAGTGTAAATAACAAAATTGACGTGCCGTGAACTTTTTAATGATAATTAGAGCCGACATGGCAGATTCCCCACTGAAATGTGTTTACATCCGTGCAGCGTAAGTCGGGGCGAATTTTCCCCGTCGCTTGTCTTTCGAGACTTTTTCGAGTAGGTTTCCGATGCGATGACATCGGATTGGATGGCGCTCTCTCATCGGGGAAATATGACAATTTATGGAATTATCCTATGGGAATCAGAGTAAAAATAAAAAATGTAATGAAATGTGAAATTTAATCTTATTTATTAATTTAATGGTTTACCGCGAAAATATTAATCGTTAGAATAATCCGTGAGGTTAAAAAAGGAAACACTAGGGGGTTTTATACTTCTTTTAAGTGGTTCTGAAACATTTTTGGTACTTGACTTGACTACTAAGAAACCAAACTTGGTTGCATGACTTATGATAACGATAAGTTATGTAAAAGTTATATAATGGCTGTCAAAGTGTATAATAGTATAACAAGGTTTTATAAAATCGCCATTTAGTTTACGAGTTTTATAATGGTTATATAATTAATTTTACAAGCACTTTATATAACCTATAGTAATATAATTGAGTGAAAAGCTTCTGCCGAAATTCCAGCAGATACGATACTTACTTCTGTAGATTCATTTAAAATCCGAATTAATAAGTGCATTGAAGTCGAATGTAACCATTTTGAGTACCTACTTTAATATAAATTCGAAAAACAAAAATTGTTTTGAGCTAAATTTGTATTTGTATTTGTATTTGTATTTGTATTATTAATATAATAACAACCAACATGTATTTTATAGAATTTTATGCAGAATCATATACAGAAGAAAAATCGAACAAAATTGATTGTTTTATTACAGCGCCACCTATTACAAATATAAAAAAATGTTTTAGACAAAATCTACCTATTTTTAGTAGAATGATCCGCGAATCTACAATAAAACATAGGGTTATTTATTGCAAGTTCCCCATGCCCTACCTAATTTGTACTAATTATGGTAACGATAAATTATATAAAGGTTAAATAAGAATTGTCAAATTATACAAGGTTTTATAAAATCTCCATTTAGTTTACCAGTTTTATAATTGTTATATACGGTTACTGTAAACTCTAGGTATATAATTAGGTTATATAATTGTTTCTACAAACATTTTATATAACCTTTAGTAACCATTAATAGTAGGTTTATAAAGGAGTTTAATAAAGTTTGCGCTTACCTGTGTTATAAAACCATTGTCTCTTTAATTTTTTAAATAAAAATTGTGATTTTTTAATTATTTATGTGCTTAATAAACCAAAAATGTTTAGTAATTGAAACAGAAATTAGGCATAGTATTAGCTTTCGACGCAATGCTTTTTCATAATTTTAACTTAAAAAATGGTTGAAAAGAAAATATTTAGCATAGAATATATAAGTAATATAATATTATTAACATAAATATTTTAAAACTAGATTAAATCGAATGTTTCGTGAAATAAATTGATTCCATTGCGTTAAAACCATTATTACAGCAGGCGAAAATGGCGAACCTGAGCGGTTAGATGGTTGCCTATCAAAAGTTTTATAACATCACTTGTAGTAACGACAGTTACTACAATATATATATAAGAGTTTCAAAATTATATAAAAACACTTTAAGTAACTTAGATAGTCCTATAAAACTGAACTATATATACTATAGTACCTTAGGTTATATAAAATTACCATGAGCAATATAAGAGAGCTCAAGGTTGATACATTCTTTCCACCATGATTGTTTTTTACATATAATAAATGTTAATTGAATTGTATTACAAAAACAACTTAATTGACCAAAGCAAGGTAAAAAATTCACTACTTTAATGTAAGCAAAAGAAAGATATTACTGTATTTAAAAAAATATAAGTCGTGTTGAGTAAAAAATCTTAGATTTAAATTATATCCATTAATATTTTGAATAAGATGACAATAAGAAAGATAGCGTACTAATAAAGAAATATATATATTAAATGTGCCTGAGGGGGAGAGACATATTGAAAGAAGGAAAAAAGCCGGTAGCAGTTCTTTAGGAAGTTATATAGTGGTTTTCATAATATTCCTGTTATCTCTACTTATAAAACTTGGGTTTTATAGTGTTACTAAAATAGTTACCAATTACCTTCATAAACTCCTCAAATCAGCTCTTTAAGGGGTATATAAGAGTATGAGTATAAGTATAAGAGACGTATAACCGGCCCCATTGCCTCATCACTCCCGGGCCCCGCATAGGCCTCTTTGCTTGCGCCGATTTTCTTTCGCCACCAGCAACGGCGCGGCTTCACCCGTGTTTGCTGGTTGCGAATGTCCATTGCGTCCCGTACTGTAACTGTCCTCTAATTACGGCTTGAGAGCGAAATGCCAATAGTTTTAGTAGCCGTTCCCGGGTTCGCCGAGCCGATGCTATACGTCCAGTAGGGTAATGAAGGAGGTAGGACGGGAGGGATAGACAGTTTGGTGTTTGGGGGACAATTACGCCGACTTAAAACTAAGTACGACGCGGAACCCCCCTAGACCAGGCAGTTAGTATTACTCCAAACATTTGGGATTACTGTATGGAGTTCGGGCTGCAGGAGCCTACGTTTTTGTTCGTTATTGTTCGTGTCCAAGTAGGATTGTTCCTGCACATGTGTCTTCAGTCTTGAGGCCGAAAACTATCAATAGATAGTTCAGTAGTTGGATATGTAACTTGTACCTTTTGATGATTTTTTTTTAATTGTTTATTGCTGCAGTAGTGCAAAATTTCTATGGTAGAATTGTTTTGTCTTTTTTTTTAATTTCCAAAATTAAGTATTGCCTTTATTTATTAGTTAAACGAATGACAAGCGCAAATATTCTGTTATAATCTAATGTGTTTACAAATTCAATAGAGTTTGATTAGTATGCTGTTTTTACTATGTTTGGGTTTTGATGATTTATTGAGTGTTAGTTTATGTTTGAGTGTCAAATGTTTATTATTGGTCTCGTTTGGGTTAAAATTAACGTTGTTTTGTTGGGTCCGTTCTTTAAGTTATGCCTTACGCATTTGTTGTTGACAGATTTATTGTCCTACTTAGCTTTGGTGTATCCGCGATAGGTCCGAATAGGAAGTTTTGGTTTTTTTTGTTGTTTGTTTTTTTCTTTATTATTTTATGGTGTTTGGTAAGTATTGTCTTTCTAATGTTTCTAATGTTACTGATGTTTATTGTTTTTTTTCTAGTTTAAGCAGTGTGCCTTTCTTAGGGTTTTAAAGGTATCTGTCGTGTTTAATTTTGCAAATTATGTGTAAGGTTATGCATATGCTTGAGGATACTTATCAATTTTTGCGGATGGCCTCTTCCCCTCTTGTTTGACCTCTTTTGTTTGTCTAGTAAAAAGCGTCAAATGACAGGTGGTAGGACCACCCTAAAACTTGTCACTTAACTCTTTCTTATCACTTAACACTTCACTCTTTATTGACCGTTACACTATATTAGATTGCACTTTATAAAAATTGTTTATTGGATTTGCCCTCTTTTGTTTGTCAAGTGAAAAGCGTCCAGTTAAGGGGTGGTATGACCGCCCAGAAGCTCACTTGTCACTTAACTCTTTCTTATCACTTAACTCTTAACTCATTCTTGACCGTAGGGTAGTCTATACTCACTGTAGTTTTTTCACTATAATTTGTTTGCACTTTTGAGAAATTATTTGTTGGTTTTGACTTTTAAGTTTTAAGATCTCGCTGCTACAATGCGTCTTGCCTTGTCAAGTGCTGGGACGTGACTGGGTTATAAAAGTTAGGATTTTTAGTGTTATTAATCACAGTTAATATTTACCTCTATAAGCTCATCAAATAAGCCATTAAAGAGGTATATAAGTGTGATATAAATATTTTTAGAACCAAATAAAGAAATTTTGGTTTTATTATTTGGGTGTTATAACAATTATAACAATTACTATAAAAACAAAAATGTTGATTGAACTGTACTCATTTTAGCAAAAATCCAAACGGTGCACCGCGGTGGAGATATGAAGTACTGACGCATTGTTTGTGCAAAAAATAGTACAATTTAGGATTAAGTCAAACTTTTATAGTAGTCTTTGTTTAAAAATAAGTTACATAAATACTGTCCAAGTGTTAAAAACATTTTACTGACCTCCTTGAAGCGATGGATAAATGAAAAAGTTGGGCTCCTGCACCCAGGATATAATCCTGACGAGGTCCTTGACGAAGGACGGCACAATGCATTTCAATACCGCAGTGCAGCCCCTCGCCGCTCCTATCACCTCGATGTCGACTTTGAAAGCCTGCGTAACAACTGCAACAAAAGAAAAGCAAGTTTTAGTATACAGTAGGTACATACTGTTAGCAGGTGGTATACAGACATTTTCCATTTAATTAACTCCGAGCTTGGTGAAATTGAAATAAAGAAATGTTGTCGCATAGAATAAATTTTAAAGAATCGCCAGCATATACAGGACCGGGTTAAGGATTATGGCCCTTTAACAGTTTTAGGTCATTTTCGGAAAGTTCAAGAAGTTTTACTTACAGTTTTTAGGACAATTTAAGGCAATTTTAGAAATTTATACTATTACTTTATTTATATATTACACACTTCAACACGATTTTCCTCCCATTAAAAAATTTAACAAATTTTAAAAATATACGAAATAACGTTTAACATTTAAATTTTTTTACAACTATTCTTATTATTTTAACCTATACAGATTTTTAATTCTTTATTTTGTAATAAATCTTTTTTTTTCTTCAAATATTATATATTTTTACATAATACAAAAATTTTACTTAAAGAAAATAATAAATTGATTTGATTTGATTTGATTATTTGATTTGAAATATATGTTGGAAACAAATCTTGATCTTTTAGTTTGACGATCGTGCATTTGAATCTATAGTGGTATCACAACCTAAAAAACACCACTTAATATACAAGGTGTTTCACATTCGTGGACCATTGGAAGTTTCTGAGGAAAGGAAAAAGATATCGATTTAAAATTTAGGTATAGGGAATAATTACACTAATCAAAATGTTTTTTAATTTTCTATTTGATTATATAAAAATATACAGGGTGTTTCATTTAAAATAAAAAAGTTTCAAGTTAGCCTAATTTGCCCTGGGTTTTCTTGGGTAATTTGTTAAAAATGTTAAAGTTTTGAAATGGAATCTTTTAAACAATGTTTTAAGATTCCAAAAATTTCACCCCCATTTCCGCAACCCTAATAGCAAAAAAGTTATAGGCTATTTTTGACTGACGCGCATTTGTCAAATTTTAACGAAAAACATTAATAACTCGAAAACTATTTACTTTAGGTATATGACGTGGTACTGTAATTTCACTCAGAATTTTATGTAGAATTTAAAAATATAAAAATATATGGGGTGTTCTATTTAGAATAACAAAGTTCTGGTCAAACCGGAAGTGGCATTTTGTTTAATATATTTTAGAAAAATATGCTTAATTGTATTATAAATACTTTAAAAATTTTAAATCGATATCTCTTGCCGTTCCTCAGAAACTTTCAATGGACCACGAACGTAAAACACCACTATTTCGTAAATGTGCAACACCCTATATATAATTAAAATAATTTTAAAATAAATAAATAATTTTAATGGTTGTACATTTATTTAGTTCATACATTTTTCTTAAAAATATACCGTCTAGCTATTACCGAAGCTGTTATATTATGTGCCAAATACCGTGGATAACATTTTATTACATCGCACTAAAAAAAAATGACGTGATCTGAAAAAACACCGAGACACGGTTCTAATTTTTTTAAGTCTATTTTCAAAATCTATACAGTAAAAAGTGTTACTGATGAATTCTTAAGATAATTAATTGCTTACAAGTTGACAGCCAGTAAAACATTGCATTGATCTAAAACTTTTACGTTTTAAGGAACCATTTTGCTTAAGCCAGCCATGCATATATTTTAAAAGGCACCGATTTTGATAATTGTCATAGATTTTTGTTCCAAATAAATGTTTCTCTTTATTTACCTTTTCGTTTTATTCACTACCACCTATAGGTTTTACTCAAATAATAGTTTGCACTAAAAGAATAAAAGTACCTTTCTAAAATTAGAACCTATCCAAAGTAGTGTTAATTTACACTGAACAAAAGTGGGATTTTACCCAGGAAGTGTAGAAGTACACGATTTTAGGTAAATTAACACTTTTTAATACAGTGTAAAATTACTTTATCCTCAGTGCTATAGTGTTAAATCATACTTGCTTACTTGGGGAAAATTACACTACAAATTAACTATAATTATAGTGTTATAAAACAACACTATTTAGTGTGGACCTGTGTGATGAACTCTAATTAGTGTTGCTTAGAGTTGATTTTTTTTTACCGTGTATAGAAATTTTTTATGGGAGGGATAAAATCAAATTTTGTCGTACTGTGTTACGTAGGATATCATATACAGGGTGTCCGAAAATTGTGTTCTTATATTTCAAGAGGATATCCTACATATAAAAACATAAAAAAGTATGGCTTATAAGAATGCTATGGCCGTCCAAGGGTGATCTAATTGTACTAGTACTAGTACTTGATCACTCCAATATTGAAAAAAATGTCAAGTATTTTAATGGTAACCATAGGTAGATTCATTTTTTAAATTTTATGTTTTAATGCAATGATTTAAATAAATTGTTTTCTCTCGCAAAATATAAGCCCAATTATTTTTTACAAGCATACCTTTTTTATGTTAAAAAGTCCTCGAATAATTATTTTCATCCGAAATCGGCAGTAAAGTAGTCAACAATAGGCACTAAAGTAAACTACTGCTCCTTAGCAGCAACTAAATAATATTTAAAAAAAGCACCGTCGCGTATGTCGATTGGACCCTTTCATAAAATGTTGTTTAATGAAAATAATAAGTTAATTTTATTAATTAGATTAAAAAAACCCGCCGCGGCGGGCAATTATATCATAACCGTCGCAACAAACAGTATACTTAGACACTTCCTACATTCAAATGACATTTTATTTATTCATCAATATTAATTATTAGAATTATTAAATGTGATTTCGGATAAAATTTAATATGCACCTCGGCATTAAAGTCATTTTTATCACTCACGTGGTTATTTGTCTCGGCTTTCGCCTCATGATAAAATACGACTTTACTGCCTTGATACATAAATAACTATTAGGTACAAATTTAAAAATGTGTTGTGTAATAAACTTTGACGCTAACTCTCAATATCAAAAATTGACATTTATTAATATTAGTGTGCTGAGACGCACTCAAACGGTTGCAAAGAAATGAAATAGAAACTATATAAACATTTGACCAACTATTAATATTCCTTTGGGTATTCATTATTAAACTAATAAATCCTAAATACATGTATTTAGGATTTATATTTTATTTTTTCTACTCCCACCTTTAAAAGGCCTTTACGTGTTTCCATGAATAAAGTGCCCTTCTTGTAAGATAATACTAAATGTAAAAATAATTTTATTATCTCAATACAAAAATTCAGTATATAGTTTCACAACACAAATATTTGAAAAGTTTATATGAACATTGATCTTTTAATTTTGCCGGCAGTAAACTAGATTTAACTTAACTTCGGGTGAAGTCTTAACCGTGCAGTGCCCATTACTTTCACTGTGGAAAACTACTTCTATATCGGATTTAAACGGTCCATTTTTTAAGGAATACGTTTAGTTTTACACATAAAAATTTAACAAACAGAATCCAAAGTTGGTTACTCCATTGTTTTATAGATGTCGCTCTATAAAAATATTAAATTTAAATCATTTTTATATAATAATAAGTATTTTTTGTACATAATGTACTATAATTGTGTATTATTTATATTGGTAAGTTTTGTTATTAAAATTATTTCTATTAAACTCCTGCTTTATGCACATGTAAATCTTAACATAAAATATGATTATTCACACCTACTCCTTAACTTTCTTTTTGTTTTTGTCCGTCATACTTTTATAGCATTTCTTTGGTAATTTTAATTTTTACGTTGACACTCCAGAATCACCACATGCAAAAAATACGCATTTACAACGTTTTTGTATTTGTAATAACCTATCTGCTATGAAATCATTTTAAAGCCGGTGCTGCTCGTTGCCGTTGAATAAATTTAAAAGAATAACAAATACCTACCTAACAACATCCTAATTGGCACGGTGGAATTTTTCTCAAAGCCGTCGTCTAGGCAACGGTAATGGACAGATGTAAAGGTGTAAAAAGCGCGAAGCCTGGAGAAATGAAAATGGAGGACGCAAAAACACACGCCAAACGTCGCATATTTATAGATACCTAAACTACAAGGTGTTCAAAAATTCAGGTTACAATCAAGTTTTAAGAGTTTTATAGCATTTTTTTAGTTTTAACACACTTTGGCTAATTCTATAGTGGTTTTATCTATTATTATTCTATTATCCTAATATCGTTTTGTATGATTTTACGATTGGAATTTTTAATTATGATTTTAATATATCGATTCTAATCATCAATATCAACTGTTCTGATTAATTTCATTTCATAAATTCATTAGACATCATTTTTATTTTAGTTTTTAATGACATTTAATACCTTATTTTATGTTATTGCTTTTTGAGAAAATATTTGATTTATATACAAAGTGTCCCTGAAATGCTTATGCAAAATATATCGATTATACACAGTAAAAAATTTTGCCCGTGTAAATTTTTTAGTGTAGGGGTAAAAGTTACACTACAAAATACACTAGGTAGCATTTAGTGCTTATTTAATTACTTTATTAAACACATTTAAAGAATATAAACATTATTCATTGGTACATTCACACTATTTATTATTAAAATAAATCAAAAGGGTAGAAAAACTTAATGCGAGTGTTTATTACCCCTTAGGCCCGTTATTTCCAATGCGAGTAAACTTTCGTGTTAGTAAACCTAGGATTAATTTAAATTCGAAGTTAACTTGAAGTTATGTTTTTATGGGTTTTTCCAAAGATTTTGCTACCCGAGTTTATTAACTCTAAGTTAAGAAGTTTATCTTTATGTTGGTATCCGTGATTCTATTATTTATCTATGGATATTATTTCAAATTGGGAAACCAGCTATGTATGGTCTGATAAAATGAGTTTTTAAAGGTGTCTACGCAGTGCGTTGTTTATTGGGTTGGATTAGATAGATTGAATGTTTGTGTGAAAGCTCACAATTAAATTAAATTTTGGGTAAAGTATTATCAGCAAAATTGAGTGAGATTAAGAAAAAAGAGTCCAGATCAAGACCAACCAATTTTAGTAAAACAGAAGATCACTTGCTGCTTAAT